CCCCAAAACCCCAAAACCCCAAAACCCCAAAACCCCTTTTACCTAAATTGTTAGTGAAATTCGGATTTATAAAAATTAACAAATGGAGACTTATTCTAGTCCAGAAGATAAGCAATATGCCGATGCTTTAGAGGATTCTCAGATCAAGTCTGAGGTTTCAGACCTTGGATTAGTTGAGTTCGGAGCTTATTTGGGTGAACAGAGTGAACACTCTAGTCATAAAGAAATTGTCCAACTGATATATGATAGAGCATTTCACCCAGAAGATCTTCTTGACTTGAAGGAGTACCTTGATTCAGAACATGAACAAAAGATGTTAATAGGGATAGCAGGGGTCTTTCACCTGTTAACTCCTTCATTAGAAGAGTCCATGAGTGAGATACTTTCTCCCTCACTAAAATCTATCCTAAAGTCTATCCTAGGCAAGGACCATCACTGGGCAATCCAGAAGAAGATGATGATTTTCGGAGCTATTCTCAGTGAGATGTGTGAAGAAGTTTACTGTCAGGCTCACTTCAAGCCCTGGGACTCTGATGTTATTGAGCTAGCGAAGGTATACCTAACCAGCATAAATACCACTGTGAAGTGTCTAGGTCTTTCCATAATCTCTTCAATGGTGTTCTACAACATATTTGAGTTGTTAGAGAAGAAGGATATCATAAATCACTGTCTGGGATGCCTCCAAGATTGTAGAGAGTCGTAAGTGTATTCTTAGAATAAATTCTCTAAAATTTTCGAAAACTAACCAGATATAGAGCAATCTCAAGCGAGAGCATAACTAAGCAAATAGTTGAGGTAATTCTCAACATTGTTAAGATCTTCGGCAAGATTTCGCCAGTTTGTCTCAAGAGTATAATTTATGCATTTGCTAAGCTGCTTAATGAGGATCACGAAGAAAGAACTCTTTTCAAATGTCTTGAAGTCTTAGAAAACTGTCTGATTAAAATTCCTTCCAATAAAGAGCTTGCTGATGTTATTGATGATATTTGAAATAGGTAAGCCATCCTTAAAGACCGAGCATTCATTACTTTGTTTATAGAGAAGCCGCCATTGAGCCAGCAGATCTTTTGATTGTGAAGTTGATGAAGGGAGGAAGCCCCCTACTCCAAAAAGTATCCATCTCTTTAGTGAACTTGATGACGAGTGTTAACCCTAAAGTTGTTCCACTTATGGCAGGGGAGAAGATACTTGAATGGTTGACTGAAAATTTCAGTTGCTTTAGTGATAATAGAAGTCAGATCACTATCGCTGGGATTTGCTATAATTTTGTATGTCATTCTAAAGAGAGCTCAATGCATTGCATTGATTCAAATATCATGAAGAAAATACTTGATTACAACAATTGCGTTGAGGTTCATGAAGAGGCATTGAGAGTGATGCTAGAGGTAACTCGTTACTTGAGCAATCAGCTTCTGTCAAAATTAAATAGCCAAACACTTTTTAGACACATTCTGAACCTTATTAGCTATGATTCCCATGAGATGATTCAAGAAGCCATCCTGAAAATAATTGCAAGATGCCTTGAGATGGAGGGTAACCTTGATCCTACCTTATTAAGACCACTTAAGAGACTAACATCACATGAAGATCGCCACACTGGAGTGATCTTTACAGACTATCTTGATGAGCTGAGGTCTTCGCAAAATGAAATAATTAGAGACCTTTCTGAGGAAGTAGCTTATCTATTAAGCTTGTAAACATTAAAAAAGACATTTCAATTGTCAAACACAATCTAGGGGTTTTGGGGTTTTGGGGTTTTGGGGTTTTGGGG